TGTCCTTCATTTAAAGGGTGCCTCGGGACTGTCCATCATTTTAAAGGGTGCCTCGGGACTGTCCATTTTAAAGGGTGCCTCGGGACTGTCCATTTTAAAGGGTGCTTCGGGACTGTCCATTTTAAAGGGTGCCTCGGGACTATCCATCATTTTAAAGGGTGCCTCGGGAATCTCCATCATTTTAAAGGGTGCCTCGGGACTGTCCTTCATTTTAAAGGGTGCCTCGGGACTATCCATCATTTTAAAGGGTGCCTCGGGACTGTCCATTTTAAAGGGTGCCTCGGGACTGTCCATTTTAAAGGGTGCCTCGGGACTGTCCATTTTAAAGGGTGCCTCGGGACTGTCCATTTTAAAGGGTGCCTCGGGACTGTCCATTTTAAAGGGTGCCTCGGGACTGTCCATTTTAAAGGGTGCCTCGGGACTGTCCATTTTAAAGGGTGCCTCGGGACTGTCCATTTTAAAGGGTGCCTCGGGACTGTCCATTTTAAAGGGTGCCTCGGGACTGTCCTTCATTTTAAAGGGTGCCTCGGGACTGTCCTTCATTTTAAAGGGTGCCTCGGGACTGTCCTTCATTTTAAAGGGTGCCTCGGGACTGTCCTTCATTTTAAAGGGTGCCTCGGGACTGTCCTTCATTTTAAAGGGTGCCTCGGGACTGTCCTTCATTTTAAAGGGTGCCTCGGGACTGTCCTTCATTTTAAAGGGTGCCTCGGGACTGTCCATCATTTTAAAGGGTGCCTTGACTGAAAAAAGGTTGCAAAACACTGCTCCTGAAGACCAAACCATTTCTTGAACCCCGTCATACTCACTTTAATTCATCTATCCGGCTTGTAGGTAGAGCTGCCATCAGCTGACTGAAGTGGGGACCCTCCAGCTTGTTGTGAGACAAGATCAGCTTCTCCAGGGTCCGGTTATTCCGTATTGCCGATGCCAGGTGGGTGCCGGAACTGTGTCGGTCAGATCATCATTTATCAAACTAGAAGAGAAGAGAAGAGCGTCCGATAATATTTGTAAATAAGGACCATATGAGGATATATATATATATATACGGTCGTCTATGCAGGTGGCTTCCATTGCTTCAGGGAATAGGAGCTGCCAACTCCACCACCTCCACCCATTCTCCGAGGGGAAGAGAAGCGCTGCCTGTAGACTAAAAGTAAAAGTGAAGAATAAAATGCTGCGCTACATAAAAAAAAAAAAAAAAAAATACTCAATACCCGTGAATCAAAAAATGTGAAAAGTAAAAAATTAAATCCGAAAACCAAAAATCACCCAAAACAAAACAAAGAATAATAATATTGAATCAACCAAAAAAAAGTCATTATAAACTCAAGTCCAATCAACTATATGTATGTGGATGTATACAGTGGGGCAAAAAAGTATTTAGTCCCCACCAATTGTGCAAGTTCTCCCACTTACAAAGATGAGAGAGGCCTGTAATTGGCATCATAGGGAGACCTCAACTATGAGAGACAAAATGAGAAAACAAATCCAGACAATCTCATTGGCTGATCTGGAAAGAATTTATTTGCAAATTATGGTGGAAAATGAGTATTTGGTCACCTACAAACAAGCAAGATTTCTGGCTCTCACAGACCTGGACCTTCTTCTTTAAGAGGCTCCTCTGTCCTGCACTCATTACCTGTATCAATGGCACCTGTTTGAACTTGTTATCAGTATAAAAGACACCTGTCCACAACCTCAAACAGTCACACTCCAAACTCCACTATGGTGAAGACCAAAGAGCTGTCGAAGGACACCAGAAACAACATTGTAGACCTGCACCAGGCTGGGAAGACTGAATCTGCAATAGGCAAGCAGCTTGGTGTGAACAAATCAACTGTGGGAGCAATAACTAGAAAATGGAAGACATACAAGACCACTGATAATCTCCCTCCATCTGGGGCTCCACGCAAGGTCTCACCCCGTGGGGTCAAAATGATCACAAGAACGGTGAGCAAAAATCCCTGGACGACACAGGGGATCTAGTGAATGACCTGCAGAGAGCTGGGACCAACGTAACAAAGGCTACCATCAGTAAACACACTACGCCGCCAGGGTCTCAGATCCTGCAGTGCCAGACGTGGCCCCCTGCTGAAGCCAGTACATGTCCGGGCCCGTCTGAAGTTTGCTAGAGAGCATTTGGATGATCCAGAAGAGGATTGGGAGAATGTCATATGGTCAGATGAAACCAAAATAGAACTGTTTGGTAGAAACACAACTCGTCGTGTTTGGAGGAGAGAGAATGCTGAGTTGCATCCAAAGAACACCATACCTACTGTGAAGCATGGGGGTGGCAACATCATGCTTTGGGGCTGTTTCTACGCAAGGGGACCAGGACGACTGATCCATGTACAGGACAGAATGAATGGGGCCATGTATCGTGAGATTTTGAGTGCAAACCTCCTTCCATCAGCAAGGGCATTGAAGATGAAACGTGGCTGGGTCTTCCAACATGACAATGATCCCAAACATACCGCCCGGGCAACGAAGGAGTGGCTTCGTAAGAAGCATTTCAAGGTCCTGGAGTGGCCTAGCCAGTCTCCAGATCTCAACCCCATAGAAAACCTTTGGAGGGAGTTGAAAGTCCGTGTTGCCCAGCGACAGCCCCAAAACATCACTGCTCTAGAGGAGATCTGCATGGAGGATGGGCCAACATACCAGCAACAGTGTGTGCCAACCTTGTGAAGACTTCCAGGAAACGTCTGACCTCTGTCATTGCCAACAAAGGATATATAACAAAGTATTGACATGAACTTTTCATATTCACCAAATACTAATTTTCCACCATAATTTGCAAATAAATTCTTTCCAGATCAGCCAATGGGATTGTCTGGATTTGTTTTCTCATTTTGTCTCTCATAGTTGAGGTCTCCCTATGATGCCAATTACAGGCCTCTCTCATCTTTGTAAGTGGGAGAACTTGTACAATTGGTGGCGGACTGAATACTTTTTTGCCCCACTGTATGTATATATATATGTGTGATTTAGCATGTTTGGGTAGGAGCTGTCAATCACCGGGCCCTGGTAATTACACGCCGGCACCCAGTGATTTCCACCAATCACTGATGGGAAGGAGGACTGTTTTGTTTATTTATTTAATTTTTATTTATTTATTTCAGGTACTTGTATAGCGCTGTCAATTTACGCAGAGCTTTACATATAGTACATTCATTTCAGTCCCCGCCCCCGAGGAGCGTACAATCTAAGGTCCTTAACTTACATTGATACATACACATACTAGGGACAATTTAGACAGGATCCAATTCACCTACCAGCATATCTGTGGAGTGTGGGACAGAACCGGAGTACCCACGCAGGCACAGGGAGAACATGCAAACTCCAGGCAGGTAGTGCCGTGGTTGGGATTCAAACCAACGACCCGAGTACTGCCAAGCGGAAGTGCTAACCATTTAGCCAGTGTGCTACCCAACTAACAGTCCTTCTCCCTGTCACTCGGGCACACTGCACAGCACAGCCTTCCACAGCAGTGTGATTACAGTGAAGCACACAGACCCCGCCCCCTGGTAACACACTCCCAGCACATAGTTAACCCATTGATCGCCCCAGATGTTAACCCCTTCCTGCCCAGTGCATTAGTACAGTGTCGGTGCTTTTTTTTTTAGCATTGATCACTTTATTGGTGTCATTGGGAATGTCAGTGACACCAAGTCAGTTCCCTCTCAGTGTTAGAATGCCCGCCGCAGTCACGCTATAAGTCGTTGATCACCACCATTACTAGTAAAAATGAAATAAATAAAATCCAAGTATATATACCGCCATTTGTAGACACTATAACTTTCACGTAAACCAATTAATTTACACATATTGGGATTTTTTTTTAGCAAATACATTTTGGCCTAAATTTATGAAAAATTAGATTTTTAAAAAAAAAAATTTACTGGACATAATAAGAAAAAGTCAAAAATATTGTTTTTTTTTCTCAAAATTGGCAATCTTTTTTTTTTTTTATAGCGCAAAAAATAAAAATAAACGCATAGGCAATCAAATGCCACCAAAAGAAAGCTCGCTGATCGCCGCCATTACTAGTTAAAAGGAATTTAATAAAATCCCAGTATCTATACCGCCATTTGTAAACGCTGTAACTTTCACGTAAAGCAATTCATTTACATGTATTGGGATTTTTTTAGCAAACACATTTTGGCCTAAATTTATGACAATTTTTTTTTTTTTTTTTTTTATTGGACATGTGTAACAGCAAAAATTCTAAAATATTGTTTTTTTTCTCAAAATTGTCCATCTTTTTTTTTTACAGTGCAAAAATTTAAAAAAAAAAAAAAAAAGCACACAGGCGATCAAATACCACCGAAAGAAAGCTTGCTGATCGCCGCCATTACTAGTAGAAATGGAAAAAAAAAATCCCAGTATCTACACCGCCATTTGTAGACGCTATAACTTTCACGTAAACCAATTAATTTACATTTTTTTTTAGCAAAGACATGGAGCAGAATACATTTTGGTCAAAATTGATGATGAAATTTGATTTTTTAAATTTTTTTATTGAACATGTTTAATAGCAAAAACTCCAAAAATTTTTTTTTTCCTCAAAATTGTCGGTCTTTTTTTTTTTATAGCGCAAAAAATAAAAAACCGTATAGACAATCAAATACCACTGAAAGAATGCTCCATTCGTGGGGGAAAAAAAGGACGTAAAATTTTATTTGCGCGACCGCGCAATTGTCAGTTAAAGTAATGCGGCTCAGTATCGCAAAAAATGACCTGGTCATGGAAGGGGGGGAATCCTCTGGAGGGCGAGGGGGTTCAATCCATTCAGCAATGACGTTGAACTCCAAACCCAGCAGACCAGGGTTCAGTGTACGCAGTAGTCGTGCCAATACATTAGGTAATGAGTGTGGTTGAGCTACGCGTTTCACTTGCTGCTTCCTTGGGAGTCATTTTGTACTCCTATCAACTTGCAGCGCACATCAATTCACAAGATCTGTGATAGTATGTCTACCAAAGAACGGGGTCCAGGGAGAGCGGATATAGTGAATGCGGGGTCCGGGGAGAGCGGATATTGTGAATGCGGGGTCCGGGGAGAGCGGATATAGTGAATGCGGGTCCGGGGAGAGCGGATATAGTGAATGCGGGGTCCGTGGAGAGCGGATATAGTGAATGCGGGGTCGGGGAGAGCGGATATAGTGAATGCGGGGTCGGGGAGAGCGGATATAGTGAATGCGGGGTCCGGGGAGAGCGGATATAGTGAATGCGGGGTCCGGGGAGAGCGGATATAGTGAATGCGGGGTCCGGGGAGAGCGGATATAGTGAATGCGGGGTCCGGGGAGAGCGGATATAGTGAATGCGGGGTCCGGGGAGAGCTGATTTAGTGAATGCGGGGTCAGTGGAGAGCGGATATAGTGAATGCGGGGTCCGGGGAGAGCGGATATAGTGAATGCGGGGTCCGGGGAGAGCGGATATAGTGAATGCGGGGTCCGGGGAGAGCGGATATAGTGAATGCGGGGTCCGGGGAGAGCGGATATAGTGAATGCGGGGTCCGGGGGAGAGCGGATATAGTGAATGCGGGGTCCGGGGGGAGAGCGGATATAGTGAATGCGGGGTCCGGGGAGAGGGGATATAGTGACTGCATGGTCCGGGGAGAGCGGATATAGTGAATGCGGGGTCCGGGGAGAGCGGATATAGTGAATGTGGGGTCCGGGGAGAGCGGATATAGTGAATGTGGGGTCCGGGGAGAGCGGATATAGTGAATGCGGGTCCGGGGAGAGGGGATATAGTGACTGCATGGTCCGGGGAGAGCGGATATAGTGAATGTGGGGTCCGGGAGAGCGGATATAGTGAATGCGGGGTCCGGGGAGAGCGGATATAGTGAATGTGGGGTCCGGGGAGAGCGGATATAGTGAATGCAGGGTCCAGGGAGAGCGGATATAGTGAATGCGGGGTCCGGGGAGAGCGGATATAGTGAATGCGGGGTCCGGGGAGAGCGGATATAGGGAATGCGGGGTCCGGGAGAGTGGATATGGGGAGAGCTGATGTTGTTCCTCCCACTGCGTGACTTCAGAAGCAGGAGGAGACAAGGATCTTGTCACGTCCGGTTTGTGGTTTACAAACAGTTAGCGGCTTGTACAAAACCAATGTCAGTTTGATCACATGCTTTGGAGGGCAGAAGAGAGATCTGGGGTTTAAAAGACCCCAAATATCTCTGTAAAGAAGACTTGTCGCAGCCCATCCTATCTTGTTGTTCATCCCTTGTGATAGAAATAAAAGTGAAATAAATAATAATTAATCAGAAGAAATAAAGCGCCCTGTCCCCCCTCCCCCTATGCTTGCGCATCAGTCCTGCACACAATGTCAATGGCAATCGCATCACCCCTGTACGGTATCGCCACCAACGTCAGAACAAGAGCAATAATACTAGCACCAGACCTCCCGTGTAACTCTGAACTGGGAACTTGTCGCCTATAGCAATTTTTTGTTTTGGACCGTAGTTTGTCGCCATTCCACAAGCATGCACAATTTTTAAGAACGACATGTTAGGTATCTATTTACTCGGCGTAACATCAGCTTTTATATTTTACCAGTTAGGTATCATATTGTGTGGTTGCGCATTCAAAATTTTTTTTTTTTTTTCCAATAAAAAGCTGCGAAAACACCGTGAAACATAAAAATTTACAACACCCACCATTTTATTCTCTCTGCTAAATAAAAATATTTAATGTTTGGGGTGTTTTAAGTAAACTTTTAGCAAAAAAAATGCATATTTTTCCATGTATGGTAGAAATGTCAGATTTGGCCTTGGCATTTTTTTTCTTCAATAACAAACAAGTTATACTCACCTGCTCTGTGTAATGGGTCTGCACAGAGCAGCCCTGATCCTCTTCTTGGGCCCTCCACCAGAGCTCCTGGGCCTCCCCCAAAGCTGCTTGCTATGAGGGCTCCCAAGCCGCCGCTGTGTGTGTTCATTCACACACAGAACGTGGCACAGCCCTGCCCCCGCTCTCTCCTCATTGGCTTATTGACAGTAGCAGGAGTCAACGGCTCCTGCTGCTGTCTCAGCAAATGAAGAGGAAGAGGACCAGGAGAGCCACTGCTCCCATGCACTTTGCTGGATTAAAATGGGGCTCAAGTATTAAAGGCTGGCTGGTGGTCAGCCAATGAAGAGGAAGAGGCACAGGAGAACCACTGCTCTCATGCACTTTGCTGGATTGAAATGGGGCTCAAGTATTAAAGGCTGGCTGGTGGTCAGCCAATGAAGAGTAAGAGGACCAGGAGAGCCACTGCTCTCATGCACTTTGCTGGATTGAAATGGGGCTCAAGTATTAAAGGCTGGCTGGTGGTCAGCCAATGAAGAGGAAGAGGACCAGGAGAGCCACTGCTCTCGTGCACTTTTCTGGATTGAAATGGGGCTCAAGTAAGTATTAAAGGGGGCTGCGCACAGAAGGTTTTTACCTCCATGCATAGATTGAATGAAGATAAAAAAAACATTCGGCCTTTACAAACACTTTAACCTCTTGGCGCCGGCCAAACGCAAATGTGCAGCCTCCCGGCGTCTGGGCCTTGACGCCGGGTGGCACACGTCTGGTACTCATGGAAAGGTCCTCTCCTCTTTCGACCGGGACTTTTCCCAATCATGTGACCACCGTGACGGTGTGTCATGGCGGTCACATGACCCTAAACCCCGCCCCCTCCCGGCTTCGAAAACCCTTAAAGGGCTGGGAGGCGCCGGCGCCAAGGGGTTAGGAAGTGAAATCGCTCATGTTTTCGTACCTCAAGATCTTGGCGCTGCGTAGAGCCACTAAAAGTTTTCTTACTCCTTCAGCTGGGATTCTGCATTTTTTCAGAGACAGTTTTTCTATCTTCCCACAGGATTCGAGGATAAAAGACAACACTGAGCAGTCTATAGGACTGAGGGGAACATTGTACAACTCAAACGTTTTCCTCGACTCGAAGGATTGCAAGACCAGAGCCTTGTTCCTGCTCTCTTTCAGACAGTAGCACATATTTAGAAGGGCCCTCTTTCCTTCTTGGGGTTTAGCAATTTTCCCCTGAATCCAGTTGACAACATCTCTAGCAGCTTGAGTAGACAATTCTCCCACATGAGACTTTAACATGGATCTAGTAGAAGAGTCGGAGAGACCACAGAGGAACTGGAGAAATATTTCGGCACGGCCATCTTTAGAAGATTCTGCCTCATGAAGAGATTTCTGTAACTTCTCAGGAACATAGTCAATAAAATGAACTAACGCCGCCAAAAACTCCTGAAGAGTGAGATGTAAAAAGGTGTAGTCCACCTCGGGAGGCCGACCAGATTCCGACATGAAACACGAAGAGAGGTCATTGCCATTTCTCACACAGAAGGAGTCCAGATGACGCTCATCAAACACAATCATGTGATTCATGACTCCATGTTCTGCCATCCAACCGATGGAGGTTAGCAGTTCACGGGCGCTGCAACCGCCATCTTTATTTTGACTGTGATTGGTCAGAATATTGGCGACAAAAGTCACAAAGAGTTGGGTCACTGTTTTGGGTAACGAGGCCATCAGTTGATCGGTGTTTGTTGGTTGGGCTCTGAAGCACATTGATAACACAGTACAGATGATCCAGCAGTACGATGGGATATAACAGAAAGTGTACAGCGTGTCATTCTCCTGCACGTAATGAAATGCTTTTTTTCGCACAATTCCTCATTTCCAAAGTAGTTTTTTTTAAAGTAGATCAGTCTGTCTCCATGGAGAAATCCCATGATCTCTGTTATTCTCTGGAAAACACCAGTATCTATCGATGCCAGTCTGGTTGGGCGGCTGGTTATCAGTACCGAGCAACCCTTCAGTAGACTCTGCCTCACCAAACTGGCCACAATCTCGCCAAAAGATCCTTTCGCTTTAGGATTGGACAGTTTACTTGATGTGAAATCTATCTGGTGAACACTTTCATCTAAGCCATCAAATATAAAGAGAAGTCCCAACCGGTTGTCTAAAATATTTCCAATCTGACTCTCCAGATACGGACATTGATGAAGAATCATCTCCTCCAAGCCGACCTCTCCCAGTCTATTAGAGTCCCGAAATCTGAAGAAGAAGACGAAATCAAATCTCTGGTAGTGTTTTTTGTTCACCCAGTCATAGACAAACTTCTGCATCAGCGTGGTCTTTCCTATTCCCGGCACCCCCGCTCACCATTACTGCATGTGGTACACATTGGGACTGGTGGCTCCATCGGAACAGCTTGTTGGGAAAAATGTGTTCCAGTCTAGTTTTTGTCTCCCTCAAGCATTTCTCATGCTTTACTCCCGTTTGGATTAGCTCGTTCTGGGGACGCTGCCTGAATGCATCGGTGGAGACCACGATAAGACTGACGTAACGCTCATTAATGTAGAATTCTTGTGGTTCCAAGGTGGTTCTTGGGGGTCTATGTTCCACTAGAGTCTGAGTTTTCATGAGCAGGTGTTGTTTGTGCTCCCTCTGAATAGCTGGAAGACAATAGAAATTCAGGTTTTCAAATATCTTTAATAGGAATCATTAAAATAAAAAAAGACCAACCTAAACAATTGCAGATAAACGAAAAATACATTTTCAGTCCTTACTTGCAGTGTTTTTCCTCTTCTTCTATGAATTTTAATGACTCCCAATCAGGAGCAGACAACTCATGGGGCCCCCAGGCAATAGGGGCTCATGGGGCCCCGTATCCTTGCCCAAACTCAAAAAAGCCTATGAAAAAGGTACCAGGGGCATCTCATGGGGCCCCCTACTGACCCCGGGCCCTCGGACAGTGCCCGAGTTTCCAAATGGTCAGTCCGCCCCTGCTCCCAATGTGCCTCTAAATCTGAAACTTTGACCCCAGAAGAGTTGATTGCCTAGACCAGACCATTTTCTCCTAGTACATGATTGTCCTCTCTTACATGTCCAAATACTGCCTATGCTGCTCCTCTCCTGCTCCCATCCATACAGAACCCTTTATGTATCTTCCACTTGAGAAGTGAAGGGAAATACTACAGAATGTCACTTGAGTGATAGTTGTGATCCTGCTGAGGCTGCTAGAAATCAAGAAAAGCTAATTTTTCACAAAAAAAAATAAAATCTCCCAAAATTGTCTCTCGGTGTAAATTCATCATTAATCATGTCCTCCAGTGATGTAGATCCACTTCAAACACAATGTCCAACAGCTGATGACCAGCCAAAAGAAAGAAAAAAAAAAACCCATCAGATCCCAAAACACATCCTGCTCCTTCGACTGCCACCCACTAAATGGAAAATCCAGCAGATGACAGTGGTTATATACAAGGGGGCGGGATCTTCTAGTGATGTCCTGATATGGGCATCAATCACATCACTGGGATCCAGGGATTCCCAGCCATACAAGTCAATGGAGCTGGTGATAGCCAGGCCCAGACAGGGACAAAAAATACCTATGTGCCAGTGCTGCAAATGCTTTTGACTATTGTGGTCACAGCCTTTGTAGCACATATACCTAGACCGGTCTTGGTGTGATTTTTATGGTTTTAGGTCTGTGTGTATTGTCTCATACTGAGGTGATGGTAAACCAGGGCGATTGCCCATATGTCAATCATTAATGTGGAATAAAGCATAATTGTTTGGAAATTTTTCTGAGTATCGCATTCTGTTCATAATGTAGCCGCTTTCCTGTGAATCTCTTTTCACAAACCCCCTTTTTTTGTATACAAAAAATAGGCCTGGGCATTTTGGACTGAACAGCTCTAAGCCTGGGGACCCTTTCCTCGGTGCCTGGTGGGGGAGCGCCAGGGCCCAGTCGCAAGAGCGACCTTTATGACCCTGGTAGTTCTGCCACTAGTGTCAGAAGGTTTTTTTATTTATTTATTTATTTTTTATAATTATATTGTAATTTTTTGTTTACAATTTTTTGTAAAGGACGGAAAGAGGGAAAGAAGGAAAAAGGGAAAGAAAAAAGGAGAAAAAGGAGGGAAAGAAGGAAGGAAGGAAAGAAAAAGGAGGAAAAGGAGGGGGAAAAAATTAGGGAAAGAGAGAAGGAGAGAAGGAAA